ATACATATCTATGTAATAAGAATAATTCAAAAAAAAAAAAAACACTTATGGAAGTTTTTGTAAAATAACAAATTTTCCGAAGATTATCTATATAGGAGGGCGAATCAAAAAGTTCGTGGATTTTTTTTTATAATTTATTTTTTGACGTCTGATCTTCACGAAACTTTAGATGCTTATATATAAATACATTTTGAATAAGTTTTGATAACTTTAGTAAAATATTTCAAAAAAATAAGCAATTTATTACATTTTACATGACGCGAGTTTCTATACCCCGGAGCACGGGAAATGAAATCAGTAAACCTGTCAAACAAATTGTAAAATGTCCATTACTAGAGATTCAAATTCTGGTGTGTTATTCAGGAAAGTCGATTAGGTGGATCGGCTGCTGAGATTTGACCAAAGCGAGTGTTAGAATGACTCGTGTATCTTATGTCTTATATGTTGTTAATTTTTTTTTCATGATTAAAGTAAGGCTAAAGTAAATAAGAGCCAGGTATATTATCCACATGGCATTCTGTCCTTTAATTCAAATTAAAAAGCTAACGTTCTGCAATCCCAAATGTACGAATGGTTTTAGCTGCTACACTGGTTATATTAAATTTGTGTTTAATTCTTAAGAATCATTGATTAACATTGTATTAACGCACATAAATAAATTTGCATATACACTTAGAATGTATGGGAAAATGTTAAGTATTTACCTGAAAATTGGTTTATATTTCTGAGCAGCTGTTAGCATTAAAAGCAATATATCGATATATTTTGCAACGGAACACCGGTAACTCAGTATGTTCCTAGATTCCACAGATAACTTCAGTTGGGTCATTTACGGTGAAAGTAATTATACTTGTTTTGAGAAAACAAAGCTTTCAAGAACATTCGATACGTAATGGAATTTAATATATCTTATAAAGATAATAGAATGATTAGCACAAATGACAGGACAAATTGAATCTGGAAGTTAGAATAAAAATAGAATAGAAAACAACAATGCAAAATTAAAATGTTGCAGACTCGATTGAAGTGTACCTGACAAGCAAACATAATGTATTGTATTGATGCGACTTACGTGCGATTTATGATATTATTCAGCTTGTAGGTGCAAAATGTTGTTGTTGCCATCGGTTAACAAAAGCACCGCTAGACAGAGCATTATATGCCCGAAAGTGTTTTTATTAGTAAGGATGAAGCATTTGTAAGACATGGGAATTAGCTGTTCATCCTATAAAATTTTACAGCTGTAGGTTGATTGATACTAATTCTTAAGTTATTGAGCGGAAACTGTTTTCAGTTTTAAGGTTATAGTGACTTTGACCTTGTGACCCCAAAATCAATAGGGGTCTTCAACCCAATGTGGACAATCATCCTTAGAAGTTTGAATATTGTGGGTCAAATGGAACTTAAGTTGTGCTCTAGAAGTTGTTTTCAGTATTAAGTTAAGAGTCTGACCTTTTGACCCCAAAATGAATAGGGGTCTATTACCAAATATGGACAATCATTATATGAAATTTGAATATTGTGGACCAAATGGAGCTTAAGTTATGTTCCGGAAACTGTTTTTAGTATTAAGGTAATAGTGACTTTGACCATGTGACCCCAAAATCACCCTATATGGATATCATCCTATGAATTTTGAATATTGTGAGCCAAAATGGAACTAAAGTTATGCTCCGGAAACTGTTTTCAGTTTTAAGGTAATAGTGACCTTGACCCTAAAATCAATAAGGGTCTTCTACCCAAATGGACAATCATCCTATGAAGTTTGAATATTGTGGGTCAAATGGAACTTAAGTTATGCTCCGGAAACTGTTTTTAGTATTAAGGTAATAGGGCCCGTAGGTCTCGTTTACTTTCACTTTCGATTTACCACTTCCGGGTACATCGGCAGACTTATTTACCGTTACGCATATAGGTAACCCGAAGAACTCGAGGGATATAGAAGTTAAATTTGTTTCGGTCCTCTTCAGATTTGAAGGAATGGATAGCACGGGTCAAAAAATGCAGGTAGGTCAATTATCTGACGGAAAAAACGAGGGATTTATAGAGTTTAATAAAACTAGTTTATTTTCGGATAATGACAATTGTTTCGGATGTTTTGTCAAGGTAGTGAATTCTAGTTGTTTAGCTTTTAGTATTGTTTTAAAACTACTGATGTGAGAAATTAATTCAAACCATTTTAACTTATTGAAATAAACAATGGAGAAACACTTTAATTCTAGTGTATATTAAAGTTATACAAAATTCGGACATTGCACAGTAATTCGGATATTTTTTCTTTCCATTTTATTCTTGTTCCTTTTTAATTATATATACATGTTAATATGGTACCTAGCAAATAATGATTGAATTAAAAAATATAATATTTGATTAAACCATTTCAGATGTATAGACAAGGAGGTATATGACAAGTATAGAATATACAATTGTTCAATATGGACCATTAATCAACTGTTTGCTCTGCCTATGATCCTGAAATATCTATACATCAAAGGTAAATACATGTAAAATAATTGATTAATTTTTAGTTGAGATCGGAAAGATAAACAATTATCAAAATATATTATTATAAGTTAATAACTTTTGGATTTCACTGCATGATAATTGATAAGTAAATAAAACATTAAAAATAGGACTACTTCATGTTTCACATTCAAGAAGATCAATATTTTTGACTGTTATATATTATGTGTTGTTGTTTATCTTTAATGTTTATTTACTTCATCATATTAAATTTTTCTGTCAATCATGACCAGCTTATTAAATGTAATGTAAATATCATTTCTAGTGTCTTACACTTGTAACAACATATTTATTGATTTTTCATTCTGCAGATAAAAAGGGAAAAGATGAAGGAGGATTTGTCCATGAAGACCTTTATTGCAACTACCATCTTCCAGTTCCTTAATTTGAGAATGATATCAGAGAACACACAGTTACAGTGAAATATTAGTTTAATATAAGCCACTGAAAATAGTCAAATGTACTTTCCTGAAGAAGATGAATGACATCATCCAGCACAAAAATCTTAATGTATAAAGAGTGTGATTTTTATGGTGTTTGACACTATGATTTGTTAAACATGTTAATGTCACAATGATAGAAACAGAGTAAAATATCCACATTTCATTGCAGTTTAAAGTATTAGAACTAGATACTCTATATATACCAAAGCTGATAACACACCAGAGATAAGGTTTTTTTCATGGAATCACAGTAGAGTCATATGACATTATGGACATTAAATGACTATGAAGTAAAGATTAGCAAAAATATTATATATCATCTACTACTAATATTGTGAGGTAATCATTGATAAGCTCACAAATTGCAATCAAAGCTTTGATATCAAGCTGAACATTTTTCAATTAGAATATGATTTATAACTCTATGATAATTTGTTCATGTTAATTTTCAAAGTCTTTACATTTGTAAAACGAAATATTCTTATTCTTGTATCAGTAGACATTCACAGTGTAAAGTTACATTGTCCAAATAACTAATAATAATTCCAAAGTGCTTTCCTGAAGTTTTTCTTCCACTGGAAAATCAGTGTGATATATATGCTAAGCAGTGCACTATAAAATTATGTAAAAATAAAAGTTTATTAAACTTATGAACTGTTTTTTGTTTCTACTATTTGGCATATATTTATAGCAGTGCTTGATCATAAGAGTTCATCTGCAAAATAAGTGTCACCGTTGTACTTTATTCTCTAACAGCAATGGCTAGATTGCTTGAATATGCAAGCATTGACTAAATTAAATACTATGCATGTCATTTGAATTTTGTCTGTCCTGAAATCGAAACAGACACTATCTAAATAATATTGATGAAAAGTTCTTGACAGCTCTTCAATGACTACATTTACACATATGTACATGGACAAAAGTTAAAAGCATTGTATGTTGTTTTTTTTGTTTTTTTTTTAAACATTGACAATTGTGAAACAGTTCCAATTGGTATATTAATGTATCAGTGATGTAATTGTTTTGTATCAAATTGCAAACCCTAAGTTTTGCATGTATTGTATAGATAATTCACTTTTGGTCAAATGTCAACAGGTTCAATACATTATAAAACAGGTAATTTGAAACCCAAAGAAGTATATGGTATGTAATAAACTACCCCTCTGATACTAAAATCTTCAAGGAATGCAGAATTGCAAGTATTCTCCAATTAAGAGAGAGACTTGGGCTTACAAGGGCTAGCAAGCTAGTGTTTTTGCTACAGAATACTCAACACAGATGAATTGCATTAATATTGTTTACTCTGGTATTACTACCTGCCATGTACAATGCAAATCATGGCTTTTCTAAGAGCAGTGAAAGGCTATAACTGGAAGGAATTTTACACATCTTGCCTCAGAAACAAGTTTTTCTTTGAGATGATTTTTATGATATTTAAATAATGGTTAAAGATTACATCACTTTTACAATTGCAGTGATCATGGTGATAATATGAAATGAAACTCAATCAAGATAGAAACATTTTAATGCTGAACATTTATCTTTTTACCATTCCTGTTAATTTACAAGTCTATTTATAACAAATTTATCTTAACTGTTTTGAAACTACATGATGCCTGGTTGAAACTGTTTTGGGCAGCCATTTGCAGAAGATAAATTATCTTTGAATAATTAAGTTAATACAAAGTTACAAATGACAGGTTAATATATTTCTAATAAAGAAAGGTTATTTATTTCTAACAAAGACAAATATTTTGTTTAACATTTTTACACTGACATATATCTTTGAAGTGTCTTCAACCTTAGTTTTTATTAGAATACAAACATTCAGTCAGACAGTTTACACAAGACATGGAGCTTTAAGAAGCTTTAATTCAGGCAAATCTGTAATGGACTGCCATGTCTCTACAAATATGTACTCCAAGACTGTGTATGGACATTTCCTTTCAACTATGGACTTGGTGGTATCACTATTTGACTTCTAATCTGATGGTGAACACTCCAAAATAAATCAAGAGCATGACAAGCTACTCAAGATCCAACCATGAAATCACATACCTGTATATAAAGAAAATTAATCATGAGTTGAAAGCAATAATAATTGGTCAGCTAATAAATTTCAATCGTTATCATATTGTCATGAATAGAAAATAATGTTGAAAAGGAAGAAACTCTTCTTGGTGTCCTAGTTTTTGTAGATTTGCTTTGACAACTGATCTTAAAAAATGTGATAGTGACTAAGTTCTTTTAACCATTTACTGAACATGATTTAACTAAAAAATATGACCCACTTACTTGAGAAAAATACTTTAAACAGTTTTTAACATGAATTAACTACATATGCCATACTGTTTGTTTATTTAGCTACACTGTAATTATTTACAAAAACGAGAACATTATATGTTATACAATAATATCTATTTTTCATTAATGTAGTTTAAGTAGCTTTAAGTATATATTTCTTACCAAAACGATTTTACAGCAGAGCATGCAAGTGTATTTACAATGGATACTGACGTCTTTCATCTCACCACTGTCCTCAGTCAAAATATCTACAGGAGCAAAATATTTCATTGAATTTTATGACAATTTAAATTGGTTATATACAGCTTGACTGTTTGTGCTTTATAAAGATAATAATTATAAATAAATAATATTTTCAGTTGGAAGAAAATATATTCAACTAAAACACACTGATAATCATATTGAAACGTTTTATCCGAAATATGCGCTGTCCGAAATTTCTAAACATTATATAACTTCTGAGAGATAATCAGGTAGCGCTATAGAAAATTGATAAAATCAAATTCACCAGTCTGGTGTCAGATGCGAATGATGTTGTATCAAAAAAACAAATTTATTAGATTTACATGGAAATGAAAATATTACAACATTTATTGGGATAAACTGAATTTGAAATGACACACCCACCTGAAGATTATACGAAGTTGTCTTTCATTGATACTTGTTCACAAGATGAAACCATTTGCATTTCGTTACAAAACAAAAAAACTCTGCCAATTTCCACATATCATTTGCTTTTCCATGTAAGTTTTACTTTCCCACCGGCATACAAGTATTACCCAAGCAATGTTGTTGATATTTGTTTGTACCCGGAAGTGCAAAATATCGTGAAATCTCGCAAGTCACATGACGAGACTTACATACCCTATAGTGCCTTTGACCTCATGACCGCAACATCAATAGGGGTCTTCTACCCATTATGGACAATCATCCTATGAAATTTCTGATCGGAAGTTGCATTCCCTATTACAAGTAATGTTATAATGGTCCTTTCTCAAAAAGTGCCTTTTTATAATGACACATTCATTTACCGAATGCGTGTATAGTTTGAAACGTTACATATCTCCTCTTTAAAAATTGTGTTTAACCTGTTTAGTTCATATAAAATAGAGACAGTTACTTATATTTTTAATTATATATCTTTAAATAATAAATGTACTATATTTACGTTGATGCTCTTGTTAGTACGGCACATCTACGAAACACATGTTAAGTTATATATTACGATATTATATTACGATAATATAACAAAACATTTTGAAATAACAATATTCTATTTCATTCAGGTAAGACGTTGTTCCCTTATGTCATTACACTTTTACTAAATGTCATACACAATAGACAATTGAAATGACTTTGGGAAGTAAAACAGACAAAAAACACATTTTATATTATTCCGATACTATCACACTGCCTATATTTATTTATAATTCATCTGTTCAAATGGTTATATTGTGAACATAAAACATATTTCACTCTCTACAATTCTTCTAGATTTACAAAATTGTTTGATGTAGACGCAATTATTTTGATAAAGAAACATGCATAGGATCTAAGTTAAGTTGTCATTTCATATAAACATTTACAAAGTGTGTAACCTATTTTGAGGTAATTACTGACATAAGATGCAATATTTTCCTAGATAATATGTATGCAAGACATGACCGATAATGAGTAAACAAGACAATCGATTTTCTAAATGTATTTTCACATAACAACGGGAAACCAAAGTTTTAAAAAATGGAAAAAAACGCTAAAGAATATTATAATACTTGAAAAATTCAACAATTATTATGTAACAGCATTTATGGATGTCTAACATTAATCAACAATCAAGTCTTTATCATTTTTTTATTTTTAGTTTTAACTGATTTCATTTGAAAGCATTGGCATTGTCTTTCTTTTAATAATCTATGGGTTTTTGCCAGTTGTTGCTGCATGATTAGGATCATTTTCTTTCCGGGAACGCGACGGTATGATCAACGTATCCTAAATAGTATCCGTATTATTTAGATTATTCGAGGTGTTAACGGTGTTAAGAATTGGTAAAAATGATATCAGACAATTCTTTGTTGTAAAACCATTCCTTTTATAAAACAAATTAAATTTGTTTTATTTCTGCATTTGTTAAATTATATACATATTCTTAATTTTTCTGCCTGGTATTTTCTACTTGCTATAAATGTTCAACATATATCAGTAGTAATATATATTCGAGTGTTATGGTGAATTTGTAGTAATATTGTCTATTGTTCGTTACCGTTACTTTAGTTAGAGAGTATAATACTATAAACAAGAAATCAGAATAAATATTACCTCTAGGTAACATCGGACATAAAAGTTCATTGACCTCCGCAGATGATATGTTTGTTAAAAGTACATTATACTTCGTTAGTGTTTTTGTGTCTCCTGTTGTTTAATGCTTTACTGATAAATAGTCCATTAACGACATTGGTAGTTTATATTTTACTTAATTGTGTGTTTCATTCTTAATTGTATACATGTAATTACGATGGTGCTTTAAAAGGCGTGGTACCCTCATTCTTTTTAGGACCTTTAGCTTTGTGGGGCTTTCAACTCGACTATATTAAAACTGTTTTGGGTAGAGCAGGAGAACCATTTACAATCATGAATAACTATTTGCACTCTTTTATACATTAGGCCCCAACACAACATTTCATATTCAAATATTGCCTTCTGCTTTAGCCATTATCTTTTTTTACTTCAATAAACCTGTCAATTGCATACTCATTAACGGTCAATGAACACAAGATATATATCTTAGATATATGTTCGGTAAGTTCCGCGAGATGCACGAAGTAAGATGTGATTTAAATTAATTTGTATCCGTATAGTAATTGCGTTATAACGCAATGGGGGTAAACTAAGGGTTTATTATTTGTATGTTAGATCGAAACCGCTTATGTCCATGTTTTAATTTTCGTACCTTATTTAAATCTTTCACATTATTTTAGCTATGATTTGTTGCTTTTTATATATATGTATATTTATATTGTAAAATTTTGAATTTTAAAACGTCCGCATATGTGTTCATATGGCGGTTATCATGGAACCTAACTAAAATAAGAGGGGGTCAAGGGCTTTCGAATCACGCATGTGTAACAAAGACAGATGCCAAATATACTTTCTTTTTTAAAAGAAAATATCTTATTGACTTTTACTCAACTTCTTTCTCATAAAACAAGTCAAGATTGACCAGTTATTATACATGTCTGTTAAAATCAAAACAAAGGACATAAAGACATGCCCGGGGATACGTTTTGACCAAATATTCTTTTCAGGACAAGAAAACCGTTATGTGTTTTTATAGTGCACTGAAACAGTTACAGTTTTTTATCAAGTCAAATAAGAGTTGATACATTTTGGTCAAAGAGATAAAACTTGTATTCTAGGATCTAATTGGTTCATTTCTATTGTCATTTACAAAGTTTTACATAACATTTTAAGCCTATTATAGCATTCGGCACGATATGGCCAGTTATGTGTTGACGTGCCGTAAAAAATCCAAACAAACAAACAAACAATAAAAAATAAGCCAATTAGATCCTTGAATACAAGGTTATCTTTTTCAAATAATTAATGTTTGATGGAATTGTATTAAAAGAGTTCTTCGAGTGAATTTACACAATTAAATCAATTACGGGCCTGTGAAAAATCATGACATTCAAGAAGATAATGCTTGACAGTAAAAGTTTCATTACAACCTACACAGAAAGGGGCATTGTCATTTGTGAGGAGATAAGATTGGGTAATCGGCATCGGAGAAGAACTGGTTGATCATGGCAGTTTAACAGAGATTGAGATGTTGATACATTTACTTCCATACGAATTAGTCCAAGAATAAATTAAGGTAGAGTTAAGGTTCTTTTGCACTGCATTTTATGTAATGAGACCAATGTTCATCCAAAGTTTCATGTTGATACCTCTTATGGTTTCAGAGTTATGTCACGGACAAAGTTCAAAGTGTAAAAATGAACAAAGTGCAAATGACTCCAAAATTAGGCATGACAGAGTAATTCTTCTTTTGCTCTGCACTTCTACGCCATGAGACCAATATACCTGCAAAGTTTCATGTTGATACCTCCTGTTGTCACGGACAAGAATAGCGGATGGAAGGACAAAGCAGCGACTATATGCTCCCCCTTCGGGGAGCATAATTATTATTTATGTACATATTAGATACTTTATGTACATATTATACAAACATATACGATTTATCACAAAACAAAATTTGTTTCACATTTTTGCGATAATTGGTATGACACTGGAAGTTGTAATCGAGATAGGAAAAATATGATAAACAAGATCAACAAGGAAAGGCGGCGTTCAATGAACGCAACCCCCATATGACCCAGCAACAAGAAACTTCAAACTAAGCTAAACTTGCAGGTGACAATTTTGATCCTCCTTAACGTTCACATGGTTTTGTATGATCTATCACGTTAATAACGTATAGCACTCCTAGTTTATTGTTTGCAGGAATAAAGATGAAAATTAGAATATATACATAACTTGCGGGAAAATGTACTATCGTAGATACAGACTACGTGAGGAATTCGCATCAAAACTTGATACAGTCTACAAAGTTAGAAGTTCGCTCAAAAAACGTTTCAGCTGTTTCAAACAAAAACATCCACAAACGTAGAGTGCATAAAATAGATCCACTGTTAACATGCAGCGAGTGTCCTAGTCGATTTGCCGCTAAACAAGATAAAGATGAACATAACAGGCGACACCATAATACGGCAAAACTAGTGTGTGAGAAATGTAAAAAAGAATTTTGCAATATATTAGAAATCTAACTTTGCACAAGTCTGTATGTGGCAAACCCAAACTCATTTGTTTCCAGTGCGAAATAGTCAGCGCAAATATAGCTCAAAGGGAAGTTAACAGAGTCATGTTAGAGCAAAACGCAGGGGAATAAAACATATCTGCAAACACTGTGGACGTGAGTTTAACATTATGTACTCTCTTACAAGACATGGGAGATATGCATACTGAATTAAACGCGAAAAAAATTCTATACACAATAGATATCGCTTTACATATCGCTGACAAAACATTTTATACGTTTACTTCAATGAACATAAAATACCCTTTTTGTAAATGTAAATATAGCATGTATATTCAATCATGAAAATAATCAGATCAGAGGGTTCTATAAAATTGGAACTAAAATGTAAACTCATGACGTTTACTATAGCGTTTTAGAATAATGTTCCAAACTTATTCTCTGACTGTATCATATTTCCATAATTCCATATTGATGACCTGTATTTCACTGTTGAAAGTTATTTACAGTTGTAGTTCATTGGCAATGTATTAGATTCATAAGAACATATTTGCTTAAGTTAAAATGTTTTAAGACTTATTTGTTTGAAGATCAATTAATGGTCTGAATAAGTTACAGCAACCAATCAGTCAAAATGGAAACGATATTAAACAATCGTATTTTTGACTTTTTTAAAAAAAAAAGATTTAGTGGATCAATGTTGGCCGATTTTTTGTCTCATCGCTGAACAATTACAATGATAGGAAATATAACATCTCTGGGCGTCTTGTATAAAGCCAGCATCCTCACGGCACGGCAAAAATTATAATGTAACAGTAAATTAGACAAGAAAATAATGAAACCTATTATACGCATAAATATAAAAAAAAGGATTCGCAGTTTTGACAAACAGCATGGACACTGGTAAGATAACTTTTTGGAACATGAACTGCATTTCAGTAACTTTTAAACCCAATTAATTTGGTATACACATAATTTGTGATTTGCAGGCCTCACAGCACCTGATACCCTTTCAAAATTCCATTTTGTTTAATTCCGTCTATTGTTTTCTCGTTTAGGGTTCAAGCTGTCTTTTTACTTTGGGACCATATGCCGCTTTTCGTGGAATGGTACTTATGTATCACATTGAAGGTTATAAGATAAGCGCCGTATGAACACAATGTTTGGTTTTACGTCGCACCAACATAGTTTAGGTAACAGTAAAGATAATTTTGGCTA